CAGTTAGCTCTTACTTTCCTACTGAACTTCAATTCTTCCCTTTTCTTATGCTCATACATCACCACACAGTAACCCTCTACCTTGAGTGGCTCTTGGGTGAACATTAGTAAAAAAAATTTTAATGTGGAGATATTCTCAATTTTAGCCTTAAGCAAGTAATTCCATGTTGTGTCATATGTTTAACCTGAAATTATCAAATTAGGTACAAAATATTTTGATTTCTGCATTAAATAACCCACAAAGGTGTTGATATGCCACTAAACAAAATCAATCAAACAATCCAGCTTTGAGTTAATTAGTAGGACTTGCATAACTAAATCATTATTATTTTCCAAAAATTCTTACAAGCTAAGGAAAAATATTAACAAGAAGTATAAGCTGGCCACTTGTATTCAAGAATATGCATCTACTAGGGCAGCTAACCAATCCCTATTTCAGATGCTTGCTCAGGCGCATTTTTGTTTATTCAATACCCACAGAGCCCACCTGTGGTTTATACTGCAATTACACTTTCTGGGAAAGAGGATGATATCTAGTGTGATCAACAATTTGAACAAGGCCAGCATGGCTCAAGCCCTCGGTCACGATGACTTGCGACTTTGTCCTAGCACACCTATCGACAGCCCCCAAAGGTTCCATCTACCCAGTTTCACTCACAAGGCTTGGGTCAACGTGTGGTATGATTTTCAGTCACCTTGGAACACACTGGGATTGACCCCTCTAGTTCGATAACATCAGGAAATCTCCTTCCTGACAAATCGACCATGTTGAGATTCAAATCAGAATGTGAATGTTCTAACCACTTGGCCACATATCCATAATATTAGTAAGAAGTAATTCGAACTCAATCAACTTGTTCCCAATAACACACAAACTTAACCTCTTGAAGAATAATCTTCAAGTAACCATCTACCTTGGGTGGCTCTTGGGCCTTCTCCATATCATCTTGAATCACTGGTTCTCATACAATCAACAAAGTTAATCAAGTCAAGCCTTGTCAGTACCTAGATGCATAACTACTTGGGAATACAAGATGCTGTAAGCTTGGATGCGCTAGTAGTGAAATTGATAATGGCTTGAATTTGGAAATCAGTAAGCCGAGTTCCAATTCCAGTTAGGTTCATTATATTTAGTTATACACAAATACATTTGGGAAAGGTATGAATCCACCTCATCTGTCTCCAGTTATAGGTTAAATTAGTAGAACTTGTATCAGTAAATCATTATTATCTCCAAAAATTTTTACAATCTACAAAAAATTTTTTCTGGCTTTAAATAATATGCAAAGGGTTGATAATCCATAAAGAACTAATCAATCAATGAACATCCATCTGCTAGCTAATCCTACAGATGCCTAGAAATTGTTGCTTATAATATGACAATACTACATAATCAGGCATTATAATCAGATGAACAAAGAACTTAAGCTCAGTTCCTCAATCATGATGACTTGTGACTTTAAGCTAGGATAACTATTGATGTCATTCAAAATATTTTGTACACTCTATTTCACTCACAAGGCTTTGATCAATCTGTGGTATTGTTTTCAGGAACTTCTCAATGGTCCTGCAGGCTAAAATTGTCTCCTCCTTGATAAATCAGCCATAGTAAATCTTGAGGTGGCTTTTGAAATCCTTGTTTCTTCTTGTTTTTGATTAAATTTCTGTTTTTCCACAGTTTGGGATCTAAACTTCAAGATCTTAAGATTTTTAGTATGGTTTGAAGAAATGAATAAAAGAAACACTGAGTTTCTGAGAGAGGGACAGAGACAGAGACAGAGAGAGAGTGCATAATCTGGCATGATAATCAAATGAACAAAAAACTTTGTTCAGTAACTGTCTATATTTCTGAGATGAGGTATTATGTACACTAATTACATTATTTGGACTATTGTCTTCATCTTTGTCACCATATTTATTACAACGTTTCGGCCTTTCAGTATCTGTCTATATTTCTGAGATGAGGTATTATGTACACTATTTACATTATTTGGGCTATTGTCCTCATCTCTGTCGCCATATTTATTACAACGTTTCGGCCTTTCAGTATCTGTCTATATTTCTGAGATGAGGTATTATGTACACTATTTACATTATTTGGACTATTGTCCTCAGCTTTGTCGCCATATTTATTACAACATTTAGGCCGTTGTACATTCTGGTCTTATTCAGGTGGTTGGAATGTCAAACTGAACCCTTAATTTCGCTCACTGGGGTACACTGTTCTGGTTCCACATGCCATGTTTAATAGATGTCAGTTATCAGTTATCGCCTGTTAATTTTCCCTCTGAAAGTTCTCCACTACCTTAACTGGGTATTGAACTCACACTCTTTGGGTCCTTTCACTGGATCTAATGTCTTTATCCACTGTGCCATGTGTCCTTGTAATAAATAAGGCGACAAAGATGAGGACAATAGTCTGAATAATGTAAATAGTGAACTTAAGCTCAGTTCCTCAATCATGATGACTTGTGACTTTAAGCTAGGATAACTATTGATGT